CTTCCCATTTCCACTTCGTTGTTTTGGAAGTCAACGAAGCGAGTGGGCCATACATGTGATCGTCTAATCCACATGTCTCGATAGTAGTTCACTAGTCCAATGAATCTACGGAGTTCCTTCCTGTTGGTAGGAGGAGCGATTTTCTTGATCGCGTCTATTTTCTTGTTATAGGTTGGATCCCTTCTCGAGTAATCCAGTAACCTATACTCAAGTTCTCCTCTTGCGAAGAAGGACTTGGTAGCATTGATCTTAAGTCCGGCTTCTCGAAGCCTTGGAGAACTTCATCCAATTTTCAACGTGATCTGCTAAATCACCGTTAGTTAGGATGAGTAGATCATCAATGTATGCACGGACGTATCTAGGTCGTGCATTAGTGTTCCCTCTTCTCTTGGAAGATGTCGGACTATTACATAGGCCCATTGGCAACCTCTGGTACTCGTACTTTCCCCAGGGAGTACGATGTTACAGAGTTGCTTCGATGTAGGTGACAGCTCGATGTGATAGTATCCCATGTTCAGGTCTAGACTAGTAGCGTACTTGAATCCTCTAGATCAAGAGCATGTCCTGTATTTTGGATAGGATAAGGCTTCCGCTTAATCTTTTGTTCAGTTCCCGGAAATCAAGATTGAATCGTACAGATCCTCTTTCTTGGGAATGATGAAAGTTGGTGCCGCCCACTCGGAACGGTTTACCTTCTTGATACTCCTGCCTCGCAGAGAGTTCAACCTCCATTCTTAAAAGTGTTGGTATTGGACCGTGGAATAGGAAAAGCCTCTGGCATGATAGGTTTAGCATCAGGGAGAAGTTCTACTTCGTAGTCGTCCATCTGCCACTTTCCAAAGTACATCGAATAGGTCAGATACTTCGTCAGTAAGAGTGAAGCTGTTCCTTCTCTTCCGTGTTTAATTGATCTTGACTTTGGCAAACCTGCCTTAAGTCAGCTTGTTCGTATTCGCATCAAGAATCTTCTTGAGACGATCGCACTGTCATCACAGCGGTAGATCAGGAATGAAAAAGTTTTCTTCTTCATTGGTATCGCTATCTTTCATAGGAATAGATGCGCCGTCCATTCCACTGACATGGTAGTGAAATCGAACTTGAAACCTAAGTCAGAGAGAAATCTCGACCTATGATCATTCATACGCCCCAAGCTCTTGGTGACGTGTAACCCACTCGATAATTTCATCTTCTGGAATTCAGGAATCATGAATGCACCTTTGCACTTCGTGCTGGTTTTAATTCTCCTGCAGGGGTAGTCCACATCGTTTTGGACGCCCCCAAGATCTTCATGCGTAATTTCTTAGCATGAGTTTGAGCAATCAAGGTTCCGATGTCCTGTTCAGTAAGCAACGGAGTGTAACGGGTTTTGGTTTCCCTTTTCTCGCTTGTTAAATCTAAACTAAACGATGTTTGAGGTCTCTTGTCTTGCGACGTTTACGAGGTGGTTGGCCACGGACAGGTTAACATGCTAAATAGATCATCAGAGTCTAGTTGAGCAGCTTCTAGGCAATCATCTAATTTGCCGTAGTCATCAGTTGCAAACAATCTTGTTTACTAGTTAGTGAGATATCTTCATCACTTTGGTATGAGAAATCGGAACAGGGTCCGTTGAGTCATCATCCTGCCTAATCCTCAGATAGAGATTTCTCCATCCAAGTGATTGAAATGATAGAGGAGTTGTCCTCATTGTCAGAGTTTTCTGATTTGCGCTTGGCAACATGGTTGCGAAGTTTGCAAGTGGTGGCACGATGTCGTCGATCTCGTGTTTTCGTCATTGTCGACGAGAGGAAGAATGGGTTTGTCACGCAACTGTTTCTCGAAGTTGCGGAACGATGCTTCCTTGAGCCATCTTCATGGTGAAGGAATAGTTGAGGGTAGCTGAAAGCTATTGTGTTTGTTAACAAAATGCACTACGCTAAAAGGTAGTGTAAAGATTTTTCGAGTGTTTTGAGTTTGAGAGAATGAAAGTTATGAGAGAGGATTAGAAAGCTATGAAAACTAATCAACGAGAGAGATCATCATCAAGGGATCGTAGATCTGGCTTCCCGCGGGAGACTTAAAGTGTGAAAGAGTAGGTTGTGGTAGTAATCCTACGTCTTCCACGATCCCAAAACGGAACGCGTGGAAGTTTGTCTAGCCTGGATCTAGTAGCGTGGAAGTACTCCACGCTGCTAAATATCTAGAGCGATGTTTCATCATCAACCTAGTATGACTAGCGCGGTCATTGAGAACCCTGTCTCAAATGACTATTCACGAGAGACTCAGTCATGAGTCGAACTCAAACCCTATCTAGGATCGAGTCGCGAATAAGGCTAAGAGGGCCGCTCGTATCGCTAACGTGGCGTCTCTGTATTCTAATCCAATGGTAAGAATACCGGTACCCTGGAAACTACGGTACATCAAGGGCGAACAGAACATCGTCGCTGATGCGTTGTGAGACTTAACATCTCCAACAACGACGGTTCTTCAGAACAGATGGACGCCAGCGAGATCGCTGAACTCATGGCTGCAGACGAAGAAGACTTCCCTAGCGAGTTCCTCTCTCGTTCCCCGAGATCGAGCATCGTCAGAAAGACGACAACGTATCAAGAAGCTCCTCAGGAAAAGCCAAACGACTACAAGAAGCAATCTTTCCCCAGAGGGGATAAGTCCTACGACTTAGTAGTTAAGGACGAGAAATCGTCGTACCTAAAATATGCAGAAAAGCTAGTGAATGGTACCATGGTGTGCTGATGCATCCTGGCGAGCTCGCACGAACTAACATCAAGCCAACACTACACCTGGAAAGGGCTGCCGCAGGACTGTGCAGGCCGTATGTCAGCGTTGCCAAAGCTGCCAGATGAACAAACCAAGACGCGTAAGCTGGGATTGATCTCCAAAGACTTGCGAGGAGATCCCTTGGGAAAGACTATGTATTGACCTGATAGGCCCTTACAACGTCGGGATCCCAAGAAAAAGAATTCCTGCACACTTCATTGCTTGACAATGATTGATCCCGTAACCGGATGGTTCGAGATTGCAGAGATCTGCTCCAAGGCAGCAGACGAAGTAGCCATCGTCCTAGAACAAACGTGGCTTACTCGGTATCCATGGCCTGCTGAGGTTATCATGGATAGAGGACGCGAGTTCCGCGCAGAGGTCGAAAAGACACTCCGGGATGAATATGGACTTCGTCGCAAGTTCATCACCACGCGTAACCCTCAAGCCAACTCTATGGTCGAGCGTGCTCATCAAACCATACGCAACTTGATCGCTGTTCAAAACATCAAGTGCCAAGACGACCTCGTGAATGGATCCTGGGATGGAGTCCTCACGGCGGTTCGCTTTCAATGAATGCCACGATTCATACCACCTTGCGTGCAACGCCCGCACAGCTCGTGTTCAATCGTGACGCGATTCACAACGTCCGTTCGAAGCCAACTGGAAGTACATTAAGGAACGTCGCAACGACTAATCCAACAAAACAACGATAGGGAAAACGCAACGCGTGTCCCTCATCAATACAATGTCAACGATACTGTGATGATTCAACAGTATCAGCACCGCAAGTACGGTCAGCCAAGTACAAAGGTCCTTACACATAGACCGAGTCAATGACAATGGCACTGTACGGCTCCAACATGCTACCGCCAACGGCGGCACAGTCTACCCAGACTTGGAACATAAGGTATTTACACCCATACAAGGCCTGATCCCCTTGTAGGATTGCCATCGTGCGACGCACATGTCTACATCCAAATCTCATGAGAGTGCCCCGCACTTTAAATCATATGTTCTCCTTGTCCGACTGCTGTCGCGCCTTCTGTGACCCTTGTCAGGGGGCGAATGCAATACACGGCTCTTAGCCTTATTCGCGACTCGATCCTAGATAGGGGTTTGAGTTCGACTCATGACCGAGTCTCTCGTGAATAGTCATTTGAGACAGGGTTCTCAATGACCGCGCTAGTCATACTAGGTTGATGATGAAACATCGCTCTAGATATTTAGCCAGCGTGGAGGTACTTCCACGCTACTAGATCCAGGCTAGACAAACCTTCCACGCGTTCCGTTTTGGGATCGTGGAGAGACGTAGGATTACTACCACAACCTACTCTATCACTTTACAGTCTCCCGCGGGAAACCAGATCTACGATCCCTTGATGATGATCTCTCTCGTTGATTAGTTTTCATAGCTTTCTAATCTCTCTCATAACTTTCATTCTCTCAAACTCAAAACACTCGAAAGATCTTTACACTAGCTTTTAGCGTAGTGCACATGCAGCTAGTAGCTACTATTAATAGTCGCATATGCATAGCTCTAGAGCTACACCGTACCGTTAGCAAGCAGACACAGATTTGCCAGTGCAAGACAGACTCGACTCACCCCTTTTGACACAAAACATGGTGCAGCCAGCCAAGAAGAAGCAAGCAACTTCTGGACCATTCCTTGCCAACTGCCTGGACACACCGCGAGACCCACCCCAAACCCCACCATAGGGAAGGACCAAACTTCTGACTCTGCATTCATTTAGCTAGCCACTGAAGGCACCAGTTATAAGGCCAACCCATAATCAGCCATCCCGATCCCCAAGGCTCCAGTGCACTGGCTGACGCACAGATACTACTGCCTCGTGCCCGTACCGTACCGGTATAACTCGCAGTTCACCACAGCACCAGCAACCTGTGCCGCACAAAACCAGCTAATCCGGAGTAGCTACTGTACCCGACGATCCTTGCTTCCCGTACCGGTACGACGACGGGCAAAGAAACCTGTACCATGCATAGAAAACCAACAGGGTCCCAGAGATCTCCGTACCGGTACCAGTCCTGTAACTCCAACAGACAACACGGTAAGTGTACTTGACTTTGTGAGCGTGACTGGTTCCCCTGGCACCAGAATTTTCGTACTTACGGACTGAGTCTGGGTATCCAGGCTCTCGAGACGTGGATACGATTCCCAGGTGCGTTGGGGCTTCTCATCCGTGATGGTGGTCATCCTACGTGTACCTGGTACCGGTACCGGACAGAACTGTTGTACAGGCAGAAAGCTAAGAAAAATGAAGCTGAATGATTGGGATTCTCTTTCCCATAAAAAGCAAAACCAGGCAGGAATTCAATACAATAGCTACTACCGGTAGTATTCAATAGCATTATCATCATGGTGGTAAAGGTAGCCGTAACGAAAGAATCTCGAGATGACCATGTGGGAGTTGTCTTGGAAGAGAAGCAAGGATCTTCGGGAGATACTCGCATTGTGGTGAGCAGTATAGGGTATCATTCTCTATTTGCGAATACCCGTCTGAGAGCGGGAATGGAGATTCTGAGCATCAACGATAAGAGCGTCCAAAGTGCCAGCAACGCCACGAAACTGTTGCAAGACGCACACGACTTTGTTGAATTGGTTGCCATTGATCCTTCTGCTTCCATGGCGGTTGGAAGTGACCCAGCGCCAATTCAGCGAAGAAGGTCTACTGATCCTGATAGTGGAGGCGTCAGCTACGGCAACCAAGACGCTACCCTCATTGATTCTGCAGCCCCTCCTCCCATCCGTCCGTCTAGTAGCCACGGCAGAGGTTCCTACAAACCTGATCCCGATGGCGAAACAGGACAATCTATTCGAGAATCACAAAAGAGAAGGGCCTCGCACAAAAGCAGCAGCAGCCATAATAAAGCCCCGTCGTCCCCACGAAAACAAAGCAACAAATCCAGCAGGGATCCCACCATGATTTCTTCTCCGCCTCCATCTTCCCCCCGAAAATCAACTAATAGTCGCCGATCCAGTAGAGATCCCACCATGATTCAAGCTCCCGTCCCTGCTCCTCCTCCTCCGCCACCTCCTCAAGACGACGAAGAATCCTTTGAAGAAGAAACCTTCCTCACTACGGCAACTCCAGTCGACTACAATGATCAGGCATATGTGTCCGTGCCGGTCGTGGCGGCGTCGGCGGTCGGCAACCCCACGAGGAGTCAAAACCAACCGGACGGATCCGTCAAAGTCGCCGCCACCAAACCATCGCAAGACGCACCGGTAGGAATCCATTTGCGACAATCCGGAAACGAAATTGTCATTGATTCGATTTCGGGTCATAGTATTTTCCAAGGCAGCGCCCTTCGTAGTGGTATGGTCCTTTTGTCCATTAATGGCTGTGAATGTGCGGGCATGACTCCTGATTTTGCCAATATTTTACTGCAGACGTCTTCGGCCGACGTTAACATTGTCGCCAAAGACAACAGCAGCCACCGGGCATCATCGTCCAACAACAACAGCAGCAATGGCAAGATTATTTCCGTCACGGCGACCAAAGCATCGCGTGATTCGAGAGTGGGAATTGCCATGCGACGCAAAGATGGCGTTGGCTTTTGTGTCGACAGTATTGCTCCGACCAGCATTTTTGCAAACACAGAGCTCCAGCAGGGCATGAAAGTACTTACCATCAATGGTGTCTCCATTCAACAATCCATGTCCTCGCAGCAAGTCTTGTCGCTCCTCGTCAATGCGGAATCCAAAGTCACCATTGTGGCAGAGAAAGCCGATAATAATGGGGCAGCAGCCATGAGGAACAGCAGCACCAGCAATAATCATCATGGCAGCAACCATAATTCCGTCAACAATCATCACGGAAATAACGTCTCCGTCACAGTGACCAAACCAACACCCAGTTCCCGCGTGGGCATTTCCATCAAGAGGTACGATGGAATTGGATTCGTCGTGGAATCCATTGCCCCAGGAAGCCTTTTCGAACCGACCGAATTGAAAAAGGGCATGAAGGTTCTTTCCATCAACGGTGTGCCGATTCAACTGTCCATGCAATCCGAAGAAGTTCTCGTGTTGCTGACGAGTGCCCCAACCAATGTGACCATTGTGGCAGAACGAACAAACCACCGCAGCAGCCACAACAGCAGCCACATGAACACGTCGTCCTCCTCGTCTCCGTCTTCACCACACGTTACTGTGTCAGCCATGAAGCCAACGCCGAATTCGAGAGTGGGAGTCGCGATGAAGCGACATGAAGCGATTGGGTTTTTGGTGGAATCCATTTCTCCGGGCAGTCTGTTTGCCCCCACGGAATTAAAGGCAGGCATGAAAATCATCAGCATCAATGGCACCACCGTTGAAACACAGATGCAATCCCAACAAGTCCTGTCACTGCTCACGACAGCTCCCTCCCTTGTGACAATCGTGGCAGAAAGGGTCAACAGCAGTAATAAGCCACCACCCGCTATGATGGTTTCCGTGACGGCCCCGTCGGATCTCATGGAGGGGTACCAGTTCGATGCCCAAATGAATGGAAGAAACGTGAGTCAAGTCAACAAGTTTTTCGTGTCCTTGTTTGTTCGTGTGTTGATGTCTCATCGTCTTTTTTCTTTTCGTGGACAGTTCAAAGTTACTGTGCCACCGGGTGGCGTGAGGGCTGGGCAACAGTTCCAGGTACCGGCACCGACGGAAGCAGATTTCCAACGATTCTCGAAAGGAGCAGTCAACAAACCTTCCGCCAATGGCACGGGGGCACCAGTAGGCCAGTTCCGAAATGACATGTGCAGCTGTTTTGAAACTTGTCCGTGCCCCACTTTGATGGGGCTGTGTTGCATGGGCATCTTGGCGGGTCAAGTGTTGCAGCGTCTCAAACTTGGTCCTTGTGGCACTCCCGGAGACTACGAGAACACCTGCGTGATCATGACTGCTATTTTCGTCGTCTTTGCCGTGTTGACGGGCATCTTGTTTGCGTCCACCAGCATTGGTTATTACATCTACATGGTGTTCAATGTCTACATGATTGTGGCGTTGACGTGCGCTCGAAAGCACATGAGAGAACGCTACAATATCCCTGGCGCCATGTGCGGTGACTCGTGTTTGGACGATTGCTGCTGTGCTTACTGGTGCGGCTGTTGCACCGTCATCCAAATGCACCGACACACGCATGATGAAAAGCAGTACCCTTACGAGATTTCCAGCAAGACAGGACTTGCAGCCAACGCGCCCGAAATCGTTTAGCTAAGACAAAAAGTAGGTTTCGTTTTGTATGGTCCGCATTCTGTGTGGGGGCTTCGTTGCGGGAAGCAGAACACAGTGACAAAGAAATAGACAATGACATTATGACACTATATGTTACCGTGCTCAAGAGCTGCGAAGCTAGAACTCAAAAGGGTCGTCTTCCTGGTGTTCTGCTTCTTCACGGAAGGCTTTGAGGCATGCATCCACATCACGCCTGTCTTTGCCCCAAACAATGAAATGCGAGGGCACATCGTAATTACAACAGCTGCCCTCTAAACGGCTGTGCAGGACTAGCTTGACTTTGTCGCCGTATCGTGGTTGCAGAGTGTTGTGTACGATTTGAGCAGTCTCGAGCGCTACTGGTTGATCATCTCCGCCGCCGTTGTCATTGCCGTCATCTTGAATCTTGATTTCTGCCATCCAACAGAGCTTGTCATGCGACCTCGCCATTGGACGACGCGTCTTTAGGATCATCACTTGATCGCCAGCATCTGGGTTGCGCCATTTGTTGAGCCGTTCCAGATCCATCAAGAGCTTGCACGCAAGATTTTTATCGCGCAGCTTCTCACAGAGGATCCGCTCGGCTTCCCATTGGCACTGAATCAGTTGTTCCTTACTGGACCCACTCAGTTCCAGCTTGATGCCTTTGCGGGCCTCTTTTAGGACCCAAATACACTTTTTCAGATACTCACCAATGGATTCTTCTTCATGAAGCGCCGACTGGTAAAAGACTTCCCCAAAGTGTTTTGGCAACATGAGAGTTTTAGAAACATCGGTCGCCAGCTTTTGTTTTTTCCGAGCATTGGCCCCCATGGCAAGAACTCCTTGCTCGCCATTAGCTCCTCCGGCCTCGTGGTCCCGTTCCGTGTCACTGTCAGTCCTCTTGCGACTACCATCTGGGCTGGCTTTTGCCTTTTGCTTCTTCTTTTTTGCCATTTCCTCCAATGCTGCCGGAAGGAAAATGGGACCTTTCATGGAAATTGCCGGCTCGAGTGCGGCTTCGATTTTTCGAGCTGCCTCTGGAGTCAGTTCCCGGTGATCTTTCTGTACTTTACAGTTCGCATAGCACTGTCCTTGAAGATGCCAATGCCAACACATCTTGTACAACACGGGGCCCAGCCCTTTATAGTCGGGATTGTAGGGATTCTTGACCCTTCCCTTTTGCCTAATGAATTCCCGAACCTTGTCTTGGGCTCGTTCCATATCGTGATGGACGGAATAGCAAATCTTGGAAAAGGGACTGTCGGATTGATTGATTTGCATCCCCTGCGCGAGACTTTGTTTTTGTCGTTGTTGTTGTTGCCCCTTGACATTGCGTGTGGGTTGTTTGATGGCCTTGAGTCGTTGTGGATCCTTGGACGGAGATGTGTCACTGGCATCGTCGTCATCATCATCTGACTTATAGTTGTGCTGTGTAAAATCCATGCGCAGCTCTGGAGCTGGTCGTCGGGGTACATGAAAGGACGCTTCAGTTGTGCATGTGCTACTAGCCCGTTGTTGTTTGTCTGGTTGATTTGGTTGCTTCCCTTTTTTCTTTGTTTGCTTGTCGGTTGCAGGCTGCTTTTTGGCTGCTTGACTCTGCTGCTGCTGTGATGATTTCTTGTCCTTTGGGCGGGTCGGATCCTTAGCATTGGCGGTGGGAGACTTTTTCGAAGCCTGCCGCTTTGCTTCCTTGGATTTTGCAGAGGGCTTTCTGATAGCATCTGGCTTGGATGATGCCTGCTCGGAGGAAGAAGTGTCTGAATCCCGAACACTTGCACTGACGGTGGGAGCCCTTTTGGAAGTGGCAGGACCAGAGGTTTTTTTGGTATGTTGCTTTCCTGTTTTGGATTTTTGTGGAGGCGGCTTTCTACTAGGCTCTGGCCTGGATGGCTGCTGCTGCTGATTGGAGGAGCTTGCCTGTGGAGCGTCTGTTTTGGCAGCGGTAAAGTTGAATTTGAGGCTGTTTTCTGGAATAAAGGGAATGGTGATCGGACTATCTTCTTCTGGTGTGAGCCGAATGGTATAAAACTTTTCACCGTGATTCCGAAGTGTACAAGAGTGAATCCATCCGGGCTTTTGGTGTGGAGGGTTGGTGGTGTACGTCCACCACACGGGGCATCCATTGCCAAAGACAATCCCTCCTTCTTCCACGATCATCTCATCTTCACTACTAGTAGTAAGTTTGTACTTTTGCGTTGGTTCTCCAACATCACGAAGCCCAACCTCCAGGACAACACCGTTTCTCATGGTGCCATCACTGCCTCGAAAGTGGACTGGACAACTGGGAGGATACTGGAATTTGTTGGCTCTTCCAGGAGGGAGTTTGTAAAACTCATACTCTCGAGGACCCGTAGCCGCCACGCCCTCCTCCGTCTTGACAGCAACTGATGCTGATGCTGACATGGTGATCACAACATACACTACCTACTAGACAAACTCACAGCAGGTGTTGGAGGACGAAGGAGTTGCTCCACGCTGCTCATCTGCTCATCACCACGGTCGTGGTGGCCGTGGAGGAAGTGTTATTAGAGATAAGGCTTACAAAGACTTAAAGAAAAGATGCCGATCCAATAAAAGATTTAATTTCATCTCCCGGAGACGACTTGCTTTAGGGGTAAGGGTACTGTTGGGGGCAGAGGTTTGAATTATACCCGGCGTGCAATACTTAGAGGCCTCTGTAGAAGTCTACGTATTTGACTAGTATTGTATTGACGGGATACAGTCAACGCATGTACATGCACATGAAAGTCGCCTCGCTTTTCACACAAGTTTCGCATGAATGAGCAAGGGAGCTGTTTCGGGGCGAAGCAAGAAAGGGATGCGCGAATACTGTTTCAGGTGTTGGTAATAAAAGATTTATGGAAACGGAGACGACCCAGGGGGCATATGAATAAAATAAAATGTGCTTTTTGTCCGTTGCAAACATGTCAACCCGCCTCCAACGTGTTGTGTACAGGTACGGTACATCTATATCTCTCCTTATCATAGCCACTCTAGTAGCCACAGCAGCTGAAGCAGCACGTGCGCCCTCTGTTGATCATGTCTTCTGATACTATTGCAAGTAGTTCTGGTATTGGCGCTACTATTGGTGGTGGTGCTGCTGCTGCTGCCAATAGTAAGAAACAGACGATGTCTCCTCCCTTCGAATCTCTTCTGTTGGACAAAAATAATGAGATTTCAATCCAATGCATTCTTCCCTTTGTTGGTGTTGGACAGTATGCCTTTATTGGAGCTGGCAACAAGAAGATGAAGCAGCTATACAAAGAGTACTGTGAAACTGAACTCAAGAAACATCCAAGAGAGGTAAAATATTACCCTGGAGAGTATCCTTACAAGCGCTCTGCAGAAGTCACAGATACTCTTTGCAGTGAAACATTCTGTAACCACCCATGTGCAGAATACTGGCTCAAGGACAATTCCAGCAATAAGAGACCTGATCATTATCATGTTTGCACTGCCATTGCCAAAATTGGAAGTATTACTCTCATGAAGTGGGCACGACAAAAGGGATTCCCATGGAATGAGCAGACATGTGCTGGAGCGGCTAGAAATGGACATTTTGAATTACTCCGATGGTTAAGAGAGAATGGTTGTCCATGGAATGCAGATACATGTGGGGCTGCTGCTGGAAATGGCCACTTGGATATTTTGAAGTGGGCTCGTGAAAATAGATGTCCATGGAATGAGCAGACATGTTACAAAGCTGCTCAAAATGGCCATGCTCAGGCGCTGCTAAAGGTGGCCACTTGGACATTTTGAAGTGGGCTCGCGAAAATGGTTGTCCATGGGGTACCAGCACATGCTTAGGCGCTGCTCGAAATGGACATTTGGAGATTTTGAAGTGGGCTCGTGAAAATGGTTGTCCATGGAATGAAGGTACATGTGCCTATGCTGCTGAAAATGGTCATTTGGAAATTTTGAAGTGGGCTCGCGAAAATGGCTGTGCATGGAATGAAGAGACCTGTTTCTATGCTGCTGTTGGTGGCCATTTGGAAATTCTAAAGTGGGCTCGTGAAAATGATTGTCCATGGAATGAACGGGCATGCTCAGGCGCTGCTAAAGGCGGCCACTTGGAAATTTTGAAGTGGGCTCGTGAAAATGGTTGTCCATGGGGTACCAGCACATGCTTAGGCGCTGCTCGAAATGGACATTTGGAGATTTTGAAGTGGGCTCGTGAAAACGATTGTCCACGGAATGCAGAGACATATCATTATGCCCGGGTGAATAACCAAAGTGAAGTGCTCCAGTGGCCACGTGACAATGGCTGCCCTGGGGATCTTGATGAAGGACACTAATGTATCAATGTTTTTCATATAATGATAAAGGGCCCATGTTCCAAACATGTTGATGAAGTAGTCAGAAGGTGATGTTCTGTTGGAGGTGCTTTTGGGCAATCAGTATCCAATGCCCGGGTATACCTATCGATACCGAAGTATGTCTCCAAAGTATACTAATTGTCTACTGTAACCAGCTAGCTAGCTCAAAATCCGTGGACGAGGGGAGAAATGATTGGCACGTACTACGGTACAGTAGCTAATTGCAGGCGGTACGGTGATGTAAATGTTGTCCCCACACGTACCGGTAGATACAAAGAGAGGCAACCGTTTTCATTAAAAAGCAAATTCGCAACTAGACTGCCGGTCTACCAAGGCTGTTTCCCAAAGATACATCGGCATTGCTTCCATCGAGGCCCTGTCCCAAGGCCATATGCCCATCTCATCAACAACAAACCAGAAGTAATATGAACGAATGCAGGAGACAAAGATCATATGAACACGTCAGATCCTACTGTATATCGAACTGATAAAACAGGGCAACAATCTGCTACAGTTCATCATGCCCATCTGCCTTCTCTGATGGTTCACCATGTCTCATCGATGCCAAATGCTTGGCCATGAGATGATCCTTGGCCAGCACTTTTGGATACTTGAGCGGGTGATCCTCGTCAATGCAGGTTGGTAATGTTTCCACGGGAGTATCTCCATTGACATTACAAAAGTATGCAATCGATTGTCGACGCTGTGCTCCACCATCGGCGCCGCTAGTAGGGACTACCACAACCCGATGTAGTGTGGATACCCATTTATCATTGGTCCATCGTTGCATGAGATCTCCAAGATTGACCACAAACGAGTCCTCCATAAAGGGTACGTGGACCCATTCTCCATCCTTCCATTTCACTTGCAGTCCAGGACCACCCGCTTTGAGAATGGTGAGGGCCCCGTAATCGGAATGGGCACCAGCTCGTACTATTTCTGTCTTGTCGTCTGCACTTGCATTCTTGTCCGTAGCAAAATAATTGAGTAGCCGCAACGCAGACATGTGCCGTGTCATTTTGTTCTGGAACCAGTCTTGTGGCAAGTCCAATGCCAAGGCAAATATTTCCAGCAGCGTGGTTGCCAGGTGTTCCATTTCTTGAAAGTACTCTTCCAGTGCTTCCTGCAGCTCGGGTGGTTGACTTGGAAATCTGCGAGGAGGCATTCCAGCGAGAGGATTGTTAGGTCCCAAGGAAAATGTTTCCTTTTGATCGGGAGGAGGGAGCAGAGAGTCTGATTTCACGCCTTGATCCAACTGCTTGCCCACCACCAGAGTTTCACTTTGCTCGTAGCCATACGGGTACTCGGTCTCATTGTTGGTTTTGCTTTGTAGTTTGACTGGAGCTGGCAGATCGAAAAAATCACGAGCTGACTGCCAAAGAGACTCCAAACGCGTAGAATTCACGCCATGGTTCGTAATGGCAAAGAAACCCACAGATGTACAAGCCTTGCCAACCAGCTCTACCACCCCGCGACGCTCATCATCACTACTAGTAGTACCACCCGCCGACGGAGTTCGCTGTGTCCAAGCACTGAGGTCAATCACTGGAATCCTCTTTTCTTCTTGCATTGTTGACGCCTCCGTCGACAAGGACACAGGCAACATCAAACTCAGCAGGATGCAAACAAACAGGGGCAGAACTGTTGAAATGATCATTGTTTGGACCTCTCGTCCCTCCTCTCTTCGCTTCGAAAAACATTGTCACGCTGAACTGGCCAAAGAAAGATCACAAGGTAGCACAGTTTCTCGTTCCACGCAGCGTGGAAAGCTAATGGTTGGGCTTTGTGCCTTCATTCATTCTATCCGTGCGTGGCAACATGGATCCACCCGTCGAACGAGTCAAGGGATGCGATGTATCCCATTGGAATGGTGTCATTGACTGGGCCACCCTTAGAAGCCGGACAGATTTGAAATTCGTCTTCATCAAGGCAACCCAAGGAACGACCTACGTGGATCCCAAGTTTCGGGAAAACTGGGGCGCTGCCAAGAAGCACGGACTATTTCGAGGAGCATATCACTTCTTCCAGTCAGATACGGATCCTCAACTGCAGGCAGAACACTTCCTTTCCGTTGTCAGCCCCCAACAGGGCGACTTTAGTCCGACGCTGGACGTTGAGATTGCAGGGTCCACAACAACAGTGGAAGAACTCACAAGGGGCGTCCGGGTTTGGGTCCAAACGGTGCAGGGTGCCATTGGAAGGCCCCCCATGATCTATACCAACAAGACTTTTGGGATAAATGGGTTCTACCCAATCAAGACATTCAACGCTGCCCTCTGTGGATTGCCGAGTGGGAGCGCAGCCACGAGCCTCGATTGCCTGTTGGATGGCACCAGTGGGCCTTCTGGCAATATTCGGACAAGGGCACCGTAAGAGGTGTCCCTGGAAGAGTCGATTTGGACTATTTCCATGGTTCTGACATCGAGTCGATGCGACAGTGTATGCTATGAGTATGGAAAGAACGGGTCATGGCTGCTGAAACGGCTTCCGAGCGCTATCAATTAGCTATCTATGATAGCCCCTATGGTCTCTCTCTCGTTCTTAGAATGATTCAATCATAATTGAACTAGCCTTTGCAAGCTAAGGGTATGGTATTGTCTTCTTCTATTAGATGCATGTATTATGATTTCTCTATTCTTTATCTAGTACACTATGAATGATGAGTGCTTCAAAATTGTTGCCGTGATGCTGGTACACATCCAGTTTTCTACCGGATGATTGTTGATTTCTGTACCAGACCAGCCTTTTATGCAGATACGGCAATAGCCTTGGGGCTCTTTCCAAACTTGAACTTCATTTTGGAAAACATCGACTTCTTTTGTGGCTTTTGCTTCTTGAGCAATCCCTTGCAGGTCTCTCCTTCGGTGGGTACTTCGGCCTCGTCCTCAATGTAGGGGTTGGGCTTGGCAAGGTGTTGACGAATGTAGCTGACTGGGTAGCCAGATCGCACGCAAATGTGCAAGCGTTCTTTGGGTTCTAGGATCCGAGGTTCTTGCTGGCCCTTGCTGCGTTCAAACTGATCGACATTGCCAACCCTTCTGGATACGGCTTCCCAATCAATTGTCAAGAAAGGATTCTTGTACTTGGATTCGTCCAAGATCATTGGATACTCTCGAACTTCCACGGTGTCAAAGCGGACACTGACTTTCCTTGTACATGTAGAATGGGTGGTAGAATCGAGTGTCGAGATGGTTCGAATGGAATCCGTCTGGGACTTGATCTTCATGATAGATGAACTCATGGTTGCTTTGGTTTGGTTGTGGAGTTGTTTTGGTTTTTCTCTTGATGATTTTGTGATCCTCTTTCAAACCTGTCATACTAGTAGCTTTTGTCATCCTGTCACCGCCGCTCCCCTCAATGAGATCAGTATCGAACAGTCGATGGATGGTACCCGGTACCTGGTACCCGGTACCTGAACCAAGCAGCTGAGGGCTCAATAGGGCACTATGAAGGATTGGTGAGGCATCGAAAAAAGTGAGATGTGGGTGTACTGTGCATGTCGTTTTGGGCGTAGCAGACCGTAGCATGACCGTTCACTGCACTCTTTTTGTTATGGAAATGGCCTAACCGGATCATAAAGAAGAACATGATATGGAGGAAAGCCCCAAAACTGCGTGAGATTTGGATATCTATGTTTTAACAGGGCTTTTGGAGTTTTTGAAGTCTCAGCATGACAATCATGCAAGGTTTAACACCTTATAATCCTTTTTGAGTTCTACGACCAGACACACTTCCCACTCAGAGATTTGAGCAGGAGGCTTTTCGAAAACTTCGTGGCTGTTGGCGTCATCAATCAATCAATGCTATGCCGGCAGCCAAAGCAGCCCACGGCAGGTTGGGAAATGAGGTAGTTGCGGTAAACGCATTTTTCGCTTATAATGTTACCATAAAAAATTATGTTTACCTCAACTACCTTTCAAAAGCTGATTCTTGGAGCAAATGCTTGGTACCTGGTACCGGTACCTGATACCAGAACTTGGTATCAGGTATGCAGTGAATTGAATCGAATGATTCGATTCAATCCGGCAAAATTGCGAATAGCTTCAACGCTTCAGCCCTCGAACCATCGAGAACTGGATCAACATCCCCGTCGAGCAACGTTGGGGTTGTGTTGGGAGCGGTGCGGGGCTGAAAGCAGTCTTCAGATACCGTAGGAAGATCGGTGGGATTTGATAGCGGGGCAACAAGCATCCTTTAGATTTGATTGATTGATTGCGTGCGTGGAGTCCTATCTTCTCACAAAAAGCAAAACCACCAAACCAAAAAGCAGAAGAATAGTAGCAATTAGCTAGGTTTCTGCATCCCTTTCTTTGATTCTAAAAGTTTGAAACAGTATCATCATGGCCAACAACTACACATCCAGTGAAGATTCTATCTTGCCTTTCTACTTTGATGCAAGGACTTTCCAAGGAGACTATTATTGGGGACTAGCCGATGATTTGGCCAACTCTGACATTGCTTGGCGCTGTGATCTGAAGAACGCTTTCTATGCGGCCACCAACCTTTACAGTGTCTATGAATTCGGCACCCGGTACCATCCTCAAAACTGGTTGCGGAGAGCCATGGCCTACATTCTGGCCTTGGGACAGCTTGGAGGGATCTTTTGGCACTTGAAGGGTGAAAGCCATTGATGACATGGTCTTCATTCAAATGACGGTCTTCCCAATGTGGTTCTTTTTCTTCGACTACCTCTTTGTGGAAAAGCGTTCCATGAACGACAAGCTCACCTTTGCTTTGATCAGTGTCGTCCTTTTGGCTGTGGATTCAGTGACGCCTTCTTCCAGCGTTCCAGAATTTCACCTACCTCACATGATTGCACATGCCCTCAAATCTGTTTGGGTGGGACGCTTTGTCGCGATGCAGGCCCCCAACACTGTTTCTGGCAAAACTTGGGCAAAGAAAACTGCCTAAGTCTCTCTGTCGCTCCCTTTCTCCATCAGATAGGTTTGTGAATGCAAGAAGTTGCAAAGATGGATGGATACTTGTTGGGTGGTTACCAGGCACATGCAAGTGAGAAAGTCGTTTTTCTCAGTTGAATAATTAGTCTAGTAGGATAATGGATCAATCATACCGGTGCATGTAGAAGCATACGGTGAAGCAAAAAAATTGAAACAACTGCGAAGTTTACATGTAGCTAGATAGGCTCAGGGACAATGTCATTGGCTGAGTGCTGCCTTGCTACTAATTGTAATTCCATAGTTGACCTTCTTTCTCTTCTCATGGTGGACTATAGCTACTGTAGCTACTGTAGCTATGTCGTAGCTAGCTAGTAGCCATCCGACGAACTCGGACGCAAAGGACCATGTGAGATGGTTTGCCAACGGATTTGCATGCCGGTCCCTGTGCTCGCCAGCCAGCTAGTACCAGAGGCAGGTAGCCAGTTTGTGGGTTGAGCTGCTTGGTTGGAGTGCACAGATACTAGTACCTTGAACACTCACTCATTCTTGAACCTTCGATCTACGAATTGCTACTAGTAGCTAGATTGGGACGACGGGACGACGAAGGCAGATCATGACTCGGAGGAGCTATAATTCGACCCAGGCAAACGAAACCTTCCGCAGCTCTTACAACATACGGTATGGTATGGTACCGGTACTGACCACACAGCAAGAGTGCTCTATCCCCACTCCCCACAACCGCCTTGCTTGGTCTTAATAATTAAATAGATGTGCTAATGTGGCTATCCTTCCTACTTCCTACTATTAATAGACTAGACTACCAGTACTACCTTCCTACTAAAGCAATATGGAATATGAAGCCAGGCAGCTGCCAGCTAGTACTGTAGCGACCACCAACATTAGGAGGATCAGAATTCACCTGCAACATGCAGGTTCCTGGCATACTACATACATGTAGGGGGTCTACTGTTAGATAGAGGGAGCGTGTTGATGAGCTTGTTGATGTTACTCAAGTACATGTACTCGTAGTACATGTACCAGATATGTAGTATGTATGATGCAGCTGGCTAGTGGCCGAAGTTGAGTGTTCGTAGATTTACCATCCCTGCTTTCTGTTGAAAGAAGTATTACCTTCCGGTATTTGTTCCACATCTACCCAATGACTGCATTGCTCAATTTGTCTATAGGTAAATAAGTTCGTGAAGATGTGAGGGATATAAAGCAATGTTTCCCTTTAACTTGATCGGAATATGTGCTCGGAGTCCTCTTTTTAGGAACACTTAAGGAGCTGTAGTACGCGGAACAGCCTGGAGCTAAGCAGTCTTTTATCGGGTGCCATGGATGCCACGAGGCAGGAAGAAGGTTTAGGTGAGAAACATACATAATCAATCAGAAAGAGTGAGTAAAGCGGTAGCCTCTTTGTGTTTTCTTCCTTGTGGCTCCTGGCCATCGTTGCTTTGTAGTAGTTAGTCTAGCTAGCTAGTTGTTGGCAGGGAAGCCGGTTTCGCTCCATCCGTGTGACCAAGAGCCAAAGCCATTACCGCCGGCTCTTCATTAGTCTATCATATCAAAGCTTCCTCTATACCGACTATCTATCTATTGTAGACGACTAATAGCCTTCTGTTGGGTTTGGTGTGTGAGCGCATAGCTAGCTACTATACTATATATTGGTAGCAGCCCATAGTATCAGTATCATCCAAGCAGGTCCAGCAAAAGCGTCATATACCCCTTAACCAACCAAGGAGGTTATTATCTAGTTGAAGATGACACCCTTGCCTCACGAAGACAGTCCTCGACGACTGGATTTTGGAATCGTCCAGCACTGTGGCAGTCGACGAAAAGAGCTTCAGACGCTCCTGAGTTATGTCAGCAATCCCACAATGGACGATGGTACCAATCGCCCTGCCAGCATGTGGATTGAAGCCGAGCCTGGAGTAGGCAAATCAAATCTGATGGCGAAGTTTCGAGATACCATTACCACTGGTACCTGCAGCACTAGTAGTACCATGACGAGTGATGCTACCCATGCCAATACCTTGTTGGAGGCAGATACTACTACGAATGCTTGTGGTAATACGAGTGATAATCATCACTGCGTCCCCCCGAATCTACCTCCCTGTGTCTGCGTCCAAGGCAAATTTGAAGAACGAGCGGCCGCATCCGAGCCGTTTGCCGCCTTTGGTGAAGCCATGGGAGAGTTAGTACAAGTGTTATTGGGAGAATCGCCCGCCGCATTGGAAGCTGCTTCCTGGGCCAAGGGGATCCGGGAAGCTCTGGATACCGAGTTGCCGTTATTGCTAGGTATTCTACCCATTCTGAGGCCACTTACGGATGGGATTGGAATGCGACAGGAAGAATCCAAAACACAAGAAGAGGAGGATCAAGATAACCATGATGATGATGACGATGATCAGGAGGATGCCTTTGGAGACTTTAGTTCCAGAGAATGGCGGTTTGAACGATTCCGATTCGCCTTTCGAGGTCTGCTCCGGCATGTCTGTCGCAGATTACAAGAACGCAACAATACCCATCTAGTCCTTCTCCTGGACGATTTGCATTGGATTGATCCCGATTCCTTGCAGATTATAAAGACACTGTTGGAAGATAAACGGCGCCCACAAAACTTGCTATTAGTGGCAGCCACCAGGCCCATTGATCAGTATGATATTCTCCTCAAGTTCAGAGACGCTCTCTTGCGACAACAAGACGGACTCGACACTTCCAACAACACTATTCAACCTCCACCTGCAGCCAACACAACAACACCCCTTCCCAAGTTGGTCAAAACCATTGGAGTCACTCATCTATCCATTGGAGAGATTGAGGAAGTCCTTGTGGAGCTATTGCAGCAGTGCTCCGGGACGACAGCGAGTATTACCAACTTTGCAAAGCTGGTCAAGGACAAGACACAAGGCAACTTTTTTGTCGTCATGCAGTTCTTGAGATTACTCGAACGATCACATCACATTGTCTTTGACAACGAACAGCAAAAGTGGACGTTCGACTTGGACAACATTACCGCCGTCGATTTCGTCTCGGAAAATGTGTCCGAGATGGTGGCACAGAATATCGAAGCAACCCATGGACGACGCCGTTCCGCTCTCATGGTCGCAGCGTCCTTTGGAGTCTCCCAATTTGATGTCTCTACCATTGTGCATGCCGTCACCGTCTTTGAAGAATCCGATGAATCCAAAGAACCGGATGACGAGCAGGAGGAAGAGGAAGAGAATATGCACGACTCCATGTACGAGGATCCCTATGTTGTTTCACAACGCATGAGTGACATGAAGGAAGAATTGTCTGAAGCGGCGTGTGATGGATTTGTAGAGGAAACTGCGCCGGGGCACTATCGCTTTGCCCATGATCGGATCCGTGAGTCGGCGTATTCACTGTTGCCGTCGGGGGATTCCAGAAAACAGGTCCATTTACGAGTGGGCCGACAACTCCGAGGGTGGATGGATACGTCGTCGGAACTGGGTCTCACGCAAGGGTTTTCCAAAGAATCCTTGTTGCTCCACGCGGCAAAACAGTCCAACCTCGGCGCCGATCTCATTGATGATGAATGGGAGCTATTGGACCTGGCGGAACTCAACTACCAAGCAGCCGAATTGGCAGCACGAAAAGCCGCATTCTACTCGGCCATGGAGTACCTGCAGGTCGGATTTTCTCATCTGGGAGACGCAAAGAAAGCTTGGAGCAATCACTATGACCTGGCGCTCAAATTCAACGTCGCCTTGGCCAGAATGCAATACTGCTGTGGTTTGCTCGACGAAAGCTGGGAAACTTCCGAGATGGTCCTTCAACACGGCAAGAGCTTTCGTGACAAGAGTGGCATGTACTTTTGTCGACTGCTAAGTCTGACGCAGCAAGAACGGGCAGACGACGCACTGAGCCTGGTTCTGGATGTCCTGCAGATGACGGGGAAACCATTCCCACGCCGATACTTGATACTCCATTGCATTCGAGCATACTTCAAAACGGCACGCTTCATGAAGGAAACTCCTGTGGACTACTTTGTCAATCTACCAATTAGCAACGACGAGGACTTTCGGATATACGCTGCATTCCTCGTGAAGTTGTTGGAGATTTCATATTACGCTGGCTACTTGACTTACTTCTTCCTTGTGACGTGCAGAGGCCTCGAGTCGCTCGCCGAAGGGAAGGACCACAGCGTATCATCGTTTGACATCATGGGATGGGCCATGGTGGAAATGTCAATGGGAGACATCAAGGCGGCATCCCGTCATTGTAAGCTTATCGAAGCGCAAGTAGCAAAGCATCGCCAAGCGTCACCTCTCAATGCTGTCAGGGGAGACGTGGGCCTATGCTCCTTTTTGCGCGTTTGGACGCAACCCATCAGGATTGACTTAACCTTACTGGAGGAATCATTCCGAAGCATTTGGGTTTGCGGTGCTGTGGATATTGCTCTGTTGGAATCCCCTCCGCTATTTGCGCAGCTTTTTGCTTCCGGTGTTCCGCTTCCGAAGGTTGCTGGCTACTGTGACAAGTACGCTGAAGTAGCCGTTGATTACAAGCAAATGATGTACTGGTACATGAATGCGCCAGTCTACCAAGCAGTGCTCAATCTGCAAGGCAATTCCGAAAACCCATCGGTGCTGAAAGGGAACCATATTGCGGAAACGAAGGAATCCTTTCTCGAAACTTGCACGAAGACTGCGAACAAACCCGCTATCTTCCAGTTCCAGATCTGGTCCGCTTGCATTGCGTATCACTTTCGAGACTATCAACGAGCAAAGCGCTGCATCAAGTCAATGGGAAGCGATCTTTTTGAAGACGGACCAATAGTTTGGGTGCAGTATCGTGTTTTCTATACCGGGCTGGTCTATTTTGCACTCTTCAAAGAGACCCGCAAGTCCAAGTACCGACGGCGAGCGTTGGCAGCACACCGCAAGCTCAAAGATTGGGTTGCTCAGGGCGTTGTGAACTGCGAATACATGTGTCTACTTTTGGAATCCGAGGACCTGTCTTCGGGCCGTAGTACGCAGCTCGCTCGCACCACTGCGGCTTACGAGGACGCCATTCGCGTTGTGTCGGAAGCAGGCCTTTGCCACCATCACGCCCTCGCCCAGGAGCTTGCTGGTGATTTCCTTTATTTGCAGGATAAAGGGTCTTCTCCCGCCAAGCAGTATCTGTCCGCAGCCGTGAAGCTCTATGAGGAATGGGGGGCAGCGGCCAAGGTTTCTGATATCAAGAAACGATACACTAATGTCGACTTGTCAGGCACCCAAGGAAATGCCGTTCCATAGCGGGTTATGTATCATGTGGCAGAAACAGAGCCGTCAGAGGAATTGCCCGCTCTGGAGCTTTCCATGCCAATCAGCCACCAGAAGAAGGTCAATTCACTTGCCCGACAACGACCCAAACAGCCAGCAACATTACAGGGCGCCCCTGATAGGGATGGTCCTGCGAGGGGCGATGGGTGGGCTGGCATTCTCAGGACCGTGACGCTGGTATTCACCGACCAGAAATGAAGATATCAGAGGTGAGGTGTCATGTGCGGTAGACTTCACACGAGCAACCAGTGCCAGAGCGAACGTCTCATCGTGATCCGCAACTTTCCTGTTGCTTGGAAGAAGCCATTGGCTTGGCATGACAGCTATCAAACTTGACTAAAGACTTGAATCCCGCTTGAGCTTGAGCTATGGCTCCTCTCTCTGGTATCGGGTAATCCTTTTGCTCCATTATTTCAGAATCAGCTCTCGGAGAAGAACTCGGGATCTCTTCAGTGTAATTTTCTCGCTTTTGGACCTGCTCCTTCACAAATCTAGAGATGAGAAGGACACAGAATCGAGTAATGATCTCGTGGTATCCAGAACTGTCAAACAACCAATCAATCTCGTCGGCACAAACCACCTGCCAGAAAAACAGTCTGGAGTAACTAAGGTAGCCTAAACAAGGATTTATAGATGCCTTCTCAATTCCAGCACAAAGCAAGTTGGTGTCCTCAAGTCAAGTGAATCGACTAGTTGCATTCAATGGTCCATCTCGCACTACACAGAGTCGCTCAGTCCAAAGCCCAATCCAGCGCTCGTTGAGCATGTATCTCCGTTGTGTCGAATACAGGAATCTCATTGGGCACTCGTTCTGGCTTCACCAGCATTGCTATTTCCGTACAACCCAGAATCACGCCTTGAGCTCTGTCACTTTCTCTGCCACTGGAAGCGTTTGTCATTTTGCCAATGATCCCCAAGAAGATTACCTCTGACTCTTCCTTGACTTCGCCTTTACAAAGTTCTTCGTAAATGACACGGTGAACTTGATCCCGGTCTTGTTGGTCAGGAACCAGAACCTGAATTCCATACTTGTCCATCAGCCTCCCTTTGTAGAAGGAATCTTCCATTGTGAATTTCGTCCCCAGCAAGAGGACACTCTTTAAGGCCTTCTTCTGCAGCACTTCTGCAGTGGCATCCGCAATATGAAGCAATGGGATAGAAATGGCGGCTTGAATTTGAGGGGCCAACTTGTGCATGGTGTTCGTGCAAATTACAAGTCCTTGTGCACCTGCCGATTCGATCCCTTGTGCTGCCTTTGCCAATCTCTCGGCCAAAGCCGCCCAATCGCCATCATGTTGCAGTTTGGCAATGGGATCAAAGTCCACACTGTATAGAACAATTTCTGCTGAGTGAAGACCACCAAGCTTCTCTTGGACTCCTCGATTCAGAGCTGCGTAATAGAGCTGGGTGGACTCCCAGCTCATGCCGCCCAGCAACCCGATAGTCTTCATTCTGTTGGGTTTTCCAGTGGCTGTTGCCAAGGCATGGAAAGAAAGTGCCATACATGAATGAGTATAATCACATCACCACGACAAGACCGGTACACGATCTTGCTAGAACCCAGTCTCACATCGCAGGATAGAGTAGGAAGCCGATGGATCATTCGCAAACCCGAAGCTGGTGCCGCCGCCAAACATACACCTACAAGGTCCAATGCTTTCGTAATTGTTCGCAAGGGAAGGGTGAAGGCGCCCGCTTAGGCTAATTATTGTGCCCCGGCCGTTCAATGCTAATGTGCTCTCGCTATTCAATGCATTACATGTACCAGTAGCCCCCCAGAACCAGCTAGCTGGCTTGCTTGTAGGGGGGACTATCAGCTACAGTTGGGACGTAATTATCCAGCAACGTTACAGGGCGCCCCTGATAGGGATCGTACTGCGAGCGGCAGTGCGTGGGCTGACATGGTTAGGATCGTGGTGCTGTCATTCATGGACCTGAAGTAGACTTCCATTGTAGGTATCATGGGTGGTAGATTTGACTCGAGCAACCGGTTCCAGAGCGAAGAAATCAGCGTGATCGGCAACTTTTCTGTTTCCTTGGAAGAAGCCATTGGCTTGGCATGACACCTATCAACCTTTACGAAAGACTTGAATCCCGCTTGAACTTGAGCCATGGCTCCCTGGTATCGGTACTCCTTTTGCTCCAGCATTGTAGAATCAGCTCATGGTCCAATCTGCCAGGGTATCAATGCGAAGAGCCCCTAGGGATCTCTTCAGTGCTTTTTTTCTCGTTTTTGCACCTGTGCCTTCACAAGTTTAGGGACGAGAAGGACGTATAATCGAGTAATCGTGGTTGGCAGCACTGTATGCCCCCCCCCCAACCTCCTGGTCGTCCTTGCACAAGGAGAAACTTACATAGTCAGGATTGTTTTTTCGCTTTCCAGAGCCCGACTTTGAGATGAGCCTAATAGTCTATTCGTCTTCGGGCAAAGTCCAGGCAGTCTATGCCTCGGCACTTTCATTCACAGTCTTTCGGTTCGGGCATCATCCAGCGGAAAAGCCAAGCCTGTGGGCAACTAAAGAACGTCGTTCGGCTGCTATTTGCAATATGAGGCATTTCAAGAATAGGTGCAGCACAACTTTATGTTCGCGGAAGCTTGAGCATGTCTTGCTTGTGAAGGTCCGAAGAGAAGAGATCAGCGAAGCAGGTCCGGGGCAAGATCAGCAAGCGCAGTGTTTTCCAAGTTCCGCAGAGCCCGTCTAGCTAGTAATGAGCTGACAAAGCTTCTTAGACATCACCAAGCTGGTAAAGTAGGATGTACATGTACCGGAGTTGAAGATCCAGGGGGGGGAATATCCAATATCCATGAATGAGTGTGTGCCACGTTGATGCCAGGCCGTACCACGTCGGTTCGAAGGGGCAGTTCGCAGGAAACTAAAGCTGTAATTCAGCTAAATAATGAGTGTCCGGCGTGTCAGTTGATGAAGCATCTGGCATAGCTCAGGAGCTTGTATGAAAATGGGTGTCTTGCCATGATGGGGCGAAACCTACTAGTACTGCTAGCTAGTGTGTGCTATGGCTAACATTGAGTCTCTGAGCACTACGAAACCTAGTGCTAGTGTATGCTATGGCTAATATTGAGTCTCTGCTATGAGACTCGAATCCTTTTTACTAGACAGCTAATTTAAAAACTATCAGACTACATCGTTGTTGTTGATTGTTGTTGTGCAGCACCATGGCCATGGCTGCCTTTGTTGATTGTTGTTGCTCAAGGGCTGACCACTTCCTCCATGCCCTCCTCGGGGTAAACATCATAGTAGTCTACCTGCCACATCTTGGTAGCTTTTTCACTCTCAGCATACAAGCCATTGCGGTGGATCTTCAACTGGATGATGTTGGCCACTGCATAAAAGTACTCAGCATGCTTGAAAGGATCCCTAGCACGAAAGCGCTGGCAAATGATGGCATAGTCCTTGAATCTGGAGTTGATTTGCTCATGGCGAGCCCTGACCAAAGACTTCATGCGCTGATCTTCATCATTGTGGCCAGTTGGTGTTTCGAAGAACTCATAACCATCATTGAAGCCACCATCAGCAAGAGTCCTCTCACCCTCCAGCCCTTCAGCAGTCATGTCATAGCAGAAGCGGTTGCGGGCAGCCCTGAGATCAGGCCACTCTCCAGCAGCATAGGGTCCATCCACATAGGTCAAGTCGCCAGTCTGAATGTTGGTGGCAACAAGGTATCTGAGTCCAGCGTGCTTGAATTTGTGAGACATCAACTTTGGATCCATGGGCCTGACTTCCTTTGTCTCAGCATCGATTCCATCAATGCACTGCTTGCAGATAGAGCCATTGTCAGCATAGAACCTGTTGGACAGTTTGATCTGAAAGGAAAGTAGACTTGTCAGGATTAGACAAGACGTTTTGAAGAGGAAAGTGGACTTGTCAGAAATGGACACTTACCCAGTCAACGTTAGAAGCAATAATAGTGGTCACCATGTCCGTCATTTTACGCAGTGTGTTCTGGTCACGACCAGTGCGCTTGGCAAAGTCATCCCATGTGGGGTACTTCTTGTAATAGAACAGAGTTAGGAGAAGTCCATCCACTCGCTTGAACGGGTTTTCCTCAGCATAGGCGTCCAGCTTCCGCCAAATGTACTTAATCTCATGGGGCTCGCATGCAAAGAGATCACTGTAGTCACGATAGGAAAGACGGACATGTTTGTTCTTTTTGCGATACTTCTGATTGACAAAGTACTTGGTGGCAACTTTGTTGATGACAGCACTGGAGTAGAGGCGCATGGTAGAGTTGATTGCAGGGGTATCGAAGAGGCTTTCCAAGTTGTTGCTTTTGGAGATTGTGAGACCATTCTGAAGTCCAGAAAAGAGCGGAGAGAAAGATCGGCTTGGAGTGAAATCTTTTGATCATGTCCTGCACAGCCGTAATGGCAGTAGGAAGACCTACTTCAGATGATCCAGTTTGGTTGCCGGTTTGCATAAGGCCATTGTCCCGGCATGAGATCGCGCATTGAAGCTCTCATTTTGATGGTTAAAATGTTCTAGTGAGATGGTATCGATTGAATAAAAAGTGTCTTGAGTAGCCAGTATCGAAGATTCAGCTTTGACAGAGTCAAACAGTACAGTTTTCAGTTTCTTGATACTCAATCTATGTATTATTTTGTTTAGACTACCCAACATCTAAGTATCAATGTTCGATGCCAACACCAGCTCACATCTTATGCTGGCCTCACAAAATCGGTTCGGTAACTTCAAATCAGAAGTCCTCATGTTGTCTCGCACCGACACAAATTTGTTGGAGCAGACGACGCGAGATCTCCACAGCAACAAGAGAGTAGACAATTATCAACATGGCACACCAAAATATATAGTTTGTACTAAGTCTCATGCATTGTGTTGCTGATAGAAACATTTTCTTCTGGTACGTCTTGCTATGGAAAATGTGCGCATCTCGCTCAAAAGGACACAATTTGCAATTTTGAGGGAGGAAGCACACAACAACCATGAACGCTTCAATAAAAATAAGGGTGGGTATTTTAAGTCTTTATATAAGTCTCTCATGTGCCGTGGAGTTTATAGTTGTAGCAATCATACTTGTTCTGTGCTCGGCCCTCAAATGTTGCATGTCAGATTGATATCGGTCTGCACCGATACGTATCGACTTGGTCAAAATCGAGACAAAGCAAGACATCTCGATTGGTAACGCCGATTTTAGATTGGAGTCCGGTCACCTTAGATGTGCGTTGGATTGGGGATGGCATGCGCCTGGAAGGTCGCCGGTGATAGGAATAGAAACTTCTCCGAATTTAGCTTAAGGGATACAACTCGTGAACAAAGTTCAACTGTCGATAAATGCAGTCCCAGCATGTTTTGCACGATCAAACATTTACCAGTTCGCGGGTTTTAACCACTAAGACTAGCCAAACTCGGATCTTGCATAGACGGTACACATATACGTTGAACCTACCTGGCTCGTGCATGTCGGAGGCAAACTTTAGATACATCAGATTTGTCATTTCCACAGCCATCTATGTAATTACACTATCTTTTGCCACCAACAATGATGGATTTTAGCTTTCAACACCGATCTTCCTCCAACCAAAATGAACTTCAGTCTAATCTCACAATCTGCAATCGGCAGACAAAGCAACGGACACAAACGGATACCCAAGCAAACAACCATGTCGGACAATGAATCTACTGGTGGTGGAAAGCGTGGAAGTGTCTATGGGAAGAAGAAGACATTCTCCAAAAATACGGAAGCCTACAAGATACTTCAGAAGATGTTTGAAGATGGTCTCATCTCACCTACCGACAAACCCTCTGATGTCCGGCTATCGAAGACAGAATTTCAGGAGTACTCCGTGACACAATTTCGATCTCAGTTCAACAAAATGAAAACTCTTATTGGTGTTACTACCAAGGAAGGTAAGCGAGTTTGTCCATTTTACTTTGTTGCACCCATCTTTTCCATTAACTCACCGACACTTTGTTCATGTCTAAATAGCCTACAAAAAGATGATGGAAAAGGAGAAGAAGCCTACTGTTGGTCCACCCAATGACACTATGCCGCCTTCTGACAATGAAGAAGAGGAGGCCGTGGAAGATTACTGTGCCGATCATTCACTCCTTTGGCAGCCGAAAAAGCTTGTGGCATGCTGGCAAAACAGGCACGGTGTCAAGCATGTGTCTATGATATTTCATCTCACTGGTGGAGCTGCCGACACGGATACCAATGCTGTGGAGTGCGGAGTTACTGATAATGGCATGGAGTTCATTATCTCTGAGCTTTGGAGCGAGACTATTGAGAAGATTGATGAGTTCTACCTTCTCTTTCCTCGCCATCAAGATGAGACAGAGGATGAGTTCAAGCGCCGACAGTATGCAATGGAGGATCTCATCCGTCCTCATTGTGCTAGTGGCAGGCGAATGAGATCTACATTCAAGTTTACACTACCTATCAAGGTTGATCCCAAATCAATGCGTGTGAGGTATGCTGGCACAAACGATGGCACTAGGATTTGCCATGTGGATTTAGCTGAACGTTTGAAGAAGGAAGTGCAACAGGTTGTCATGTTGGATCGGGGACGTGGGCGTGGTTTGAAGAGGCCTCATCAAGGTGATGACAATGGCAAATGGTCCGAACTGGCCAAATAAGTTCTGCCGCTCCACTGCAGAAACTCAACAACAAGCACACTTCGCATGGTTCATAGCCATGCTGTTAACAACACAACAACAAACACAACACCAAAATAGGGGGCAACGTGTCGAGTGCCCCTGTGGGAAACCGAATTTCTTGTAGGAAACCAAATTTCTTAAAATACTAAGTAGTTATTACCCTACCGTAGCACGCCTGTCGTTTCAACAAAAGTCAAAATGACAGGCTTGCCATGCAAAATTCGTGCCAAATCGTTCCATCTCAGCAAGACACCCATTTTCATACAAGCTCCAGGCATTGACAATAAGAATGATGGTGACTCTTGAAAGCCCCTTTTCATTCGTCTATGAAATGAAGAGGACACTCACAAGTGACTTCCACTTCTCTTCCATATTATAATTCCAAATGCACCATTCTAATGTTTACTTATTAACATTTAAGAAAAGCCTGTTTGGTGACCCGATTTTCAATCCGCCATCAACATAGAATCCAAGCTCATTGAACACCTCTTTGGCTAGCTAGGCTGGGCCTCACAATCTCTTGATTGATAAGTTGATAAGTTTGGTTCCTCTCATTCTTTCCCTTTGCAAAAACCTCTCTAGCTAATACCAACCCAAGATGAAGGTCTTCAACATTTTCAAATCCAAGTACACCACGGCAGTTTTGTCAGGAAAGCAGAAGAATCTGGACGTTTCCAGTTCTTTGACCGAGGCCAGTGATGGCTCCGATCGCCCACACGGCAAGCCCTCCAAGCAAAAGAAGAGGCATAGCAGCAAGAGATCCTCCTCCAAGTCCAACAATAAGGTTGACAACAACAAGATCAAAGAACATGACCAGAAAGAAGGGCGCACTGCGAATGAAAAGGTGATTGATGCCCTCTTGGCCGGTTGGAATGGCACTCCCACCATTGAAGAGAACCTGAGCCATTTTGCATCTCCCGATGTTGTCATCAAGTTTGAAGACATGCCCAGCATCACGGCTCGCATCATGGCCGTCGAAATGGACAAATGCTACAAGAGTTTCCCCAATCTCCACTTTCACTATGAATCTGTCAAGGAGGTTCGACCAGGACATGTCTTGGTGGAAGATCTTCAAGTGAGCGGTACTCATACCGGAGAACCTTTTGCTTTTGCCCACTTTCCCGCCATTCCAACATCCAACAAGCACTTGGTGAATGATCACGAACGATTGTGGTTTACTGTCAATAAGGAGGGAAAGATTGTCTTGCAAGAAGCCATTGCGTTGGGATCCGTCACGGGTATTGCCGGCTTTTACATGCAGTTGGGTGGAAAGATGGACATGCCGCCACCACCACCTACACAGACGAGGAAGCAGAGTGGCGGTCTTCGGAAGATCAAGCAGAGTAAAAGGTGGAGATCGGTTCTTGTGGCTGCCTGGCTTGCCTTGCTATCCAGCTAGCTAGGTAGTTCGTTTGGTTTGTTGTTGCATGACTTTTAGTAATATTAGGTACATTTGTTCTTTATCGGCTGGTCTCCGTCTTTGGTTAATGTAGATATTATAGTCTTCTCGGCGGAAGGTTGTTGCTGAAAGGCGCCAGCTTTAAAAACAGTCGGGTAGGTACTTGCTTGTCGTCGACAAATGATACTTTCTACAGGCAGCCAAGCTGGCAACAGTTGCTCCAATCCAATCCAATCCCCGGCATGCAGTAACTGCATTCTCGGCAGTTGTTGGCCAGAGCTGGATGGGGTGGCAAGGACTGCTCTGTACCGATTGCTCGGGCAATCAGTAGCGAGCCGCCCTTTGCGAGGATCCGACTGTTCTTCGTGTTGCCTTGCACCAGTGAACTCAACTCAACTCAATTCTCTTGATGAACAAGCAGTCCTAGCATTCCTGTACACACATAGCTGCGTGAGCTACAGTATCCTATAAGCTTGATGGATTGCTGATCTAAAACCCTTTCACCAATGATGGATTGCTTCAGTCTCAACACCTGGTACCGGTACCGGTACCAGGTACATGTGCGGTCGCACAGCATACCGCGACCGCTAGATCCGAGACGGCTAGTTTTCCTCTTTGCAGCTCTCATGGCTTTCGCCTAAGGGAGAACCCCACCCCAATACAAGCAACATCCACAATACCAACACAGACGATACGATGTCTCTCCGAGTAGCTTTCACGAGGATGACAGTCAACAAGGCGATGGCGTAGTGTAGCTAGATGTTTACTTTGTTGCTGTATACATGGTCAGCCAATCAACGATTTCAATTTTGAAGCCAGAACGACAACACAGGATGAACACCGTACAAAAGACATGGATTCCCGGCAAACGCAAAACACTGCCAAGTGAACCAAGCTCTGAAGCCAACCTAGCTAAAACCACCAGAAGGTCAGGGTAGAACTGCGGTGCAAAAAAACTTTGAAGCTTGTTACTCCGTCCAACTCTGGAAGATTCGAGCTAAGATTTGTGTTCCGTGACCATCAGGCCTTGTATTAGCTTTTCTCCAAAGATAGCCCTGCCCCACCATACTTGACGCAACCTGGGATCCAAACATTGCCAGATACAACGGGACCATTCTTGACCCAACCAAATCAAATGTGGCCACCATTCAAACTTCATGCCTCATGTAAGCAAGTAAAGTCATGGAAAAACTCAAGGCTTCGGCGGCGGCGCAGGAGTTATAAAGATTTTGTTGTTTTTCATGGGAAACTGGCTTGGAAGATGGCTTGGAAGGGGGTCATGTAAATGGGTTCTCAAGTGTGGCTTCCAGTGTCGAGGTGAATGAAATTCCACAGAGGGGGGCGTGTGGACAAGTCTTCCAGCCAAATCCATGCTTCGTTTCTCCGTGGAGCGGTCAAATGGCAAGGCGCCTCGTTCTACTGTACAAAACAAGCGGTTGATAAAACTGATACCCCGCTCTACTAGTTAGGTACGGTAGTCGGAAAATGTCTACTCAGAGTAACTTTGAGCCGGGATATTTCGGGATGCAGCATGCAGCTCGAAACTTTCGGGTATGCCCCTGCTTTGCTCAAATGAACAATGCCTACGACATGGCGGCTGATAGCAAGCAACGAGTTTGACAGAGTGGTATGGTACGATATTGATCGTAGTCTGCTCGTAGCTAGCCGGACTCCCCTCCCCGGCCGCGTCCCAAACAATGCATCCCGGCCCTGATCTTATAAAAGAAGCCCAAAGTACCAGCTCAGCTTTTGCACCAGCCGTTGTCTTTGGATCGTAGTTGCCGGGGCGTGCCAAAGAAGATCTCCATCACAAGATGTCTTTGGATCGAAGTTACTATAGTTGCCAAGACGTTCCACAGATCTTCCTATTCTTGATCAGCAGGCAGCAGAGGCACAGTCTTTGCTTTAGATGACAACCGGGCCAGCCTTGGACAAAGCATAAGAAACCGGTCCAGATTGTTCCAGCCCTACCGGTAGGCTTCTTTCTGTTGCCACCTTGAAATGAATCTAAGATCCAAGACATCATTGCAATCATAATCTCATTCCACGTTGAATGACTGTGGACCGTAGCTCGAACCGACTGGAGAAGACTTGCACTACAAAAGAGCTGTTCTTTTCTTGGCAAAAACCTCACTCTTCATCATCCTTGAGAAGTGTTGCTTTGGGCAAAAGCCTCACTGACGAGGCATGCAGCCACGGCAATTGAGCGACATCTCAAGGAACTCCTTGAGAAGCATTCTACAGCTGTACGTAGAGTGTCACGCAGATGCAACAAATGCCTATATCTTGGCATGCAGTCCTGACATGGCACGGAACAAAGCATCTTCTCCTTCTTTGAGTTTTCGGCTTTTGGATGATGGGAGCAGGTGATGCTTCGTAGCTCCTTCGTCCACTTTCTTCTGCAGACTTCGCTGTTTGCTGTTTGCAGCCAATATGAAGGACATATCGATCAGAAGCAAGGTCTTGGGCGGCTCCCAATCTCGCTGGACTTGGCCAGTCTTCCAATAAGATTGGTGGAAACCCAGAGATGGAGATGCTAGCTAGATGCGGTTCTATCGATCTTGTTCTCTCTATGTTGCAACCATCGAAATCTTCGGTGTGGCCTCTCATTCGCTGCAACTAGCTAGCTACTAGGTCTATTAGTCTACAGTACTTTTAGCTTGACCGGTAATGATCTTTGCGACTGGCTGCGGACTCGACTCGTCACTCGGCGAAACAGACATCACCACAAAGGTTTGTTGTTGAAGCCGCATAGGTAGATGGGGTAATGTTACCGTAAAGCTAAAGTTAGACTGCTGAGTAAAATAGACGACCCAGCTAGCTAGCTAGTTTGTATTTTAATTTTTTGATACAAAAATTTTGTTACCTTAGTTTCCTACGGTAAGTCGCTTCACGGTTGTGTACCGAACACGATCAGAATGCACTGTAATAAGCTTCTTCCAAGAAGCCTTTCCGTCTCGGACTCTTTGAACCCAAATTTATCCGTGAGGTCTTTTTGGTTTGACACTGGTGAAAGGACGTGAAAAAATTTAATATTAATAATAAAACAGGGTTTCGAGTAGAGGATGGAACCGCAAACGCTAGGGTCAAGCGTAGCGTTTAAACGCTAACAGGTCCCCTTAGCGTTTGATATTATGCGTTTTTTAGCGTTTTTTATTACTATGAGCTCAGCGTTTTTGTTAGCGTTTTATTAGCGTTTTTGTTAGCGTTTCTGTTAGCGTTTTTTACAGTATTGGTGCACTACAATAGAGTGCAATCAGACTATTAAGAATGGTGTGATTCTTTAGAAATGGATATTTACATTTATTTTGTTTATATACTTTGAAATTTCATAGAAAAGTGCAGTAGATCAAAAGACAAACGATTGCGGTTCTGCGGGCCCTGGCCACACCCGTGACCCCAAGGCGTGTCAGATCGAGATACCATTGGTTGCATGGTGAATTTTTGAAGTTGAAAACATCTAAAAACCGTTAAGGTCCACAAGAAATGATGAGGTGGACGCTCATAATTTGAGCTCAAGAGTTCAAATCACCGCCCCCAACACATTTTGCTTTTGGTTCTAAGTTAGTTTAGCTGAGCTCAGCTGAGTTTCTCAGAGTTCAAGTCTTGAAAATACAGTTTCTTCTTTTGCAATTGCTTTTGCTCTAAGTTTTTGGCTTGTTTTATTTTGTCATGTCTCAGCCCAACCTTCCTGCAACAATCGCTGCAGAGAGGCGTTCTAGCGTGGATGCTACTTCTGTTCTTACTACTGGCACCGGTGGTATTAGTGATAGTGACACTGCTGCAAAGGAGCAGTGGTTAACTCAAAGCTCGAAAGCCAGTGTTTTTTTCTGCCTTGAAGCCCGCTCAGGAAGCAATGTTACATCTAATGTTTGGAACTTCTTTCATATTGTGAAGGGTGGCAAGAAAGACATTGATAAAGAATCTTTGCCCAATGCTGACTTCTCTAAGTATAATGAGAAATGCGATACAAACCGGTTTGCTGCGTGCAACCACTGTGGCAAAATTCTTGCTTGTGGAACCTTGAAAAAGGGGAAAAAGAACGAGTTGGCACCAATGGCTGCCCCTCACCACTCATCGTAACCACTGACCGTGCGGAAAGAACAATAACACCACCTGTGGATATCCTCTGATGAGCATATTACGGTGAATGCTTCTGAATTTGGTGGCAAGAAGCGCAAGACCTCTCGTCAAGCATCTATTATGAGCTATGGTAGCGTCAAAAGTGGTGTGATCAAGAAGCTTCCACCTGGAGCAAGGAAGAAGCATCAAGAGTTGATGACAACAAGATGGATCGCTGATTCTATGAGTCCTTTCAATACTGTTGAAACAGAACGGCATTCCGGTGATCTGATTCAGTCGTACGTTTGACTGCCAAGATATAGATACAAAACAAGAA